AAGTTAGTTCAAGATGTAGACAAAAAACAACTGAACTAAAATATTATTTAAATTTAACTGTTTAGCTTTAGCTGCATTATCTCTGCAGCACAATTAGCAAAATAAAAACACTAGCTAAACTTTATATATTTCACTCTGGACTATTGCGTCTCTCTTTGTCGGCTTTTGTGCGCAACGCCAAATAAAAACCTCTCTAGTTCACCGCRCGGAACAAGCACATGGAAGCAGGGACTTCCAGGTGATCAAGTCCTCTATTGACAGAACCTCAAATGCCTGCCTTGGCGCTGTCAAAATAACACGCCAAAAGGCTAGACAGCTGACACACACGTCGAAGGTAAACAGGCATGTCATAGGCCAGGAGAGCCCCGACAGACATGATGAATGACCTGAAGTTCCCACGAGGCGATGCACACACACACAAAAAAAAATACTTGGAGTGAGAGGAAGGTGATGTGTGGTCAGCCCCTCCTCATCACTGCAACACAGAGAATCCCATTCACACGCTGAGCTGACCCTCATACATCTCATACATATCACAACAAATCCACTATAGTACCAAGACTTATCTGTATATGGCTGAGACCAAACATGCACATGTGATTAATCTATTAAACTTTGCATGAAAAAAAATCACAAATTTAATCGATTTTGTTAATGTACAGTTGAATAGCTGCAAATTGCATTGTTGTTTAACTATACCAAACTGCAAGTAGCAAACTACCTGCTTTRGAAAAAAGGTTGTTCAGGGAGTGCACAAGCTGTATCTATTTTATTCATCTTTGTAAAACTTACGGAGTGTGTAGAGTTCATGTGTGCATGCAATGCATGTGTATGTGAGTTGAACCCCCTGAGAGAGATCAGTGAGTGAGGGATGTGACCTTGCCAGAGTAGCTGGTCTCTCAGTTTTTAGTCTGCATAACCATGGTGACAGTGCTATGCAGACAGGATGTCTACTTAGAGGATTTAAAAATAATAACACGGCTGCTCTAAGTTTCATTATGCCCCGCATTACTGTAACCAGCAAAGACAGGAATTTATAACAAATAAAACTTCATTTGGATTTAAGTTTTACAACTTATAATGCATTCAATGGGTTGGGTTCTTGAGTAGGGAGGTATTTTGGTAAAAAAAATATGTGTGTTGGATTTAGTTGAAACGGCTTTGAAAACAGCAATAACTATTCTATTCTATTCTATTCTATTCTATTCTATTCTATTC